TGTTTGTTTATCTTTTTACTTATTGTAGTTTATCAATTATAAAATTTGTAATATTGAGATCATGACAGAAAAGGAATATTTGAACATCAAAATATAAATAAATTTATTCCTCACTTATTCTTGAATAAGGAAGTTATAACACATATTTCTAATATCTTTTTCAATAATTTTATATAGCATTAAAATTCTTTCACTGTTAATAAAAACTGTGATTGCTTTTCTGAATTCGATTTTAATATAAGCCATTTTAAAAAAATTTAAAGTTTGAAAAGAAATTTCTTTTAAAAAATTTTATAATAAAATGAGAATGTATTAAAAAACTATTTATATTTTGAATATTCAATTCTTTAAAATATTTTCAAAAAGATTTTAATATTTTATTATAAACATATGTATAAGGGTAATTATGTCACTGTTAATAAAAACAGTGATTTATTATAGTAGATTCAATAGTTTATATATGTCATTTTTTAGAAATTTAAGTTTGAAAAAGAAGATTAATTTCACAGATATTTTATAATAAAATGAGAAGTGTATTAGAAAAACTATTTATATTTAAAATATTAAATTCTTTAAAATATTTTCAAAACGACTTTAATATTTTATTATAATTATAAATAATATTGTAACTATGTCACAGATAATGAAAATTGTGATTTATTTTCGTAGGTTATATTCTGATATAAACCATTTTAATAAAAATTTAAGTTTGGAAAAGAAATTATTTTACCGAAATTTTATAAAAAATGAGAATGTATTAGAAAAACCATTTATATTTTGAATATTCAATTCTTTAAAAAATTTTAAAAACAACTTAAATTTTTTATCATAATTTTATATAATTTCTGGATATCTTCACAGTTAAAAAAAACTGAGATTTATTATTGTATATTCGATTTTAATATAAATCTTTTTTTTAATTTAAAGTTTGATAAATAAAACTTTTTTCACTAAAGTCTTATAATTATCATAAAAAATTAACCATGTCATTAAAATCTCAATTTATTCAATAAAAAGTCTTTAGATTGTAGTAATGATTTTATTTTTTTAATAAAAATTTTATAGTCGATTACTGAATATTTACGTAATTATTTGGTTAAAAAACTTGTTTATAATATAATTACTTGAATTAAGTTTTTTTTTCACACGTGGGAAAAAAGGGACCTCGAAAATTTATGAAAAATATTAGAATAATACAAAAAAATACCCTTTAATACATTTTTAAACACACAAATCATTAGTATAACAGTGTTCTAGAACCGCTTTTTTGTTTGCCAACTGAAAACTTAATAGAGTTTCTTTGAATTAAGGGCGTATTGAAGAGGTACGTGAACTGTATATCTTGTCAACAAGATGTGGAAACTATGCCATACTCTAAAATAGAGATGGTGTAGCATTAAGGTGTTATAAAAATAGGTGTATTAACTATAGTAAATCTATTTCTATTCGAACTG